GGCATGTGTGTACTCAGTATCAGGAACAACGGGTCGAAGCCACTGGTAACAGTATTCCGAGGAACGCCTCACGACGTAGCTATACTTTTCTCTTCAGTACAGTAAAAGTACAATTTTTTTTTATAATTTTATAATAAATCCAGAAGCAAGACATGAGGTAGTTGAAATGGCAACTGAGCTAATGAGTGATCCTCTGCTACCATCTACTGGTTGTAATGGAAATTTCATGTCATTTTCATCTTGAAAGTCTTCGTTTTCCACCAGGAGACACTTTGTGGAACATTTTTTTCATGTCATCTTCATGAATGAAAAGTTAATCTTTAAAGTGAATTTTACTGCACAGTAGAGTTGCGAAATGCTGAAGGCTTTAAAATATTATAAGTGGTTAAAAAAATGTGTTCATGACTATGAGGGTAAGTTATTGAAGATCAAGCGGATAGATTAAGATATAGCATCGCTAGCTAGCTAATGTCAGCTTAAACAGTTATGATATTGGTTAGTTGTCAGGATTTAAATGTACAATTATGTTTCTTGGTACTCTCCTGGGATTAAAATAACGTGAAACTGTATGTTAATTATTTTGTTTCTAACTTTCTGATGAGAACGAGGCAGCAGAGGCTTCTGTGAGGGTCTCAAGAGTCTCTACCTATTTATACCTCAACATCAAATTACCTTCACCGGAAGTTTACGAGCTGGTTTATCTTCATGTGGAAGTTCAAAAGAACGCTCCGTGCATATGGTCAGTTGTGCGTGATAGAAACATAAGTCTTGTTTCTTATAGATCCTTGCTTGAATTTTAAGAGTATACATTTTAATTTATATATTTGTACATTAAGCTGCAAGCATGCAATACCACCCACAGCCAATTAATTTTTTACAGTAGTCAACATTTGAAGTGGATCAAACCCTTTCATCAAAGTTTTCATTAATATTTCATATACTTCAATACTTCAAATGTATTTACTTTCTTAAATGGTGTCTTCAGTAATATGTTTGTAAATGGTTTGTTCTCAATAGTATTGTTGCATTGCAATATTACTTTATTATAATTTGTACAAATATATGATTAAAATAATTTTTGTAGTCTAAAATAAGCATGCATAGCATGTATAGTGCACTAATCAACATCTGGAAAGCAGTTTTATATATTACAAATACACAAAAACAAAAGGCTGTGAAGCATTTTTGAGCTTATATTTATTCAATTATTATGTTGTATATGTATGTATGTATAATGTTGTAGTTTCAGTTCTACATCACATTGCACTTTAACGTTTAATTTACTTAATATTTAGCAGACACTTAAGTGACTTACAGTGCATTCAGGCTATACAATTTTTATCAGTATGTGTGTTCCCTGGGAATTGAACCCACAACCTTCTGCACTGCTAACACAATACTCTACCACTGAGCCACAGGAGCACAACATTTAAACACAACAGTTTGCAGAAATACACAGTTTTAAAGGTTAGAAGGTGCAGTCTTTTTATGAGCAGCAACCATGGAAGACACCCACTCACTTGGTTCAGAAAAGAGTGTAATGAATGAATGTCCTGGTGCTTCTTTTACTGCTTAGCAATATCCATATTAATTTATTATGGTTTTATACTGCAGCAGTAACTGTAACTATGGTAGGGTAAAAATGGGGGAAGATGATCCCCTTAAAACAGTGTGCATTTACTTTTAAAATGTAACATATTTAGATATAAGTTTACCATGATGATGCATCAGCTAATGTACTATTAAAAGAAAATGAAAATAACAAAAAATGCTAATTAGTTGCCATAGCACAAAATGTAGAATTATTCAAAGAAGCCATTTCTTACCCCAAAGGGACTAATTTTATCGTTTCACTTCAAAATAAAAACAATATTTTTTTATTCCACAAAATCACTTTCACACACTTTTACTTTAACTGTTCCCTCCTGGTGGAATGACCTGCCCAACTCAATTCAAGCAACTGAGTCCTTAGCCATCTTTAAGAAATGACTAAATACACATCTCTTCCATCTTTATTTGACCCTCTAATTATTATTATTATTTTTTTTAGAAAACAAAACAAAACACTTGGCCCTCTAACACTTGCACTCTCTATTCGTATTATATTCTATCTACTTGTTTTCTTTTTATTATATGTATGTTAGCGTTAGGCTAACAGAGACTTGTCATAGCACTTGCATATTATTGCTCTTTTGTTGGTTTTGATTGCTTCTATTGTCTTCCTTTGTAAGTCGCTTTGGATAAAAGCGTCTGCTAAATTACTAAATGTAAATGTAATGACACCAAGATCTGTCATCCGCCGAATCTCCTTTTTAACCTTGTCTTGCATAGCAATTGGAATGCGTCTTGCTGGTCGGACGACAGGAGGTATGGTGGGGTCAATTTTCATGGAATATGTTACGGGTAGTCTACCCACCTCATCCTTGAAAAGGTCAGCATATTTGGTGAGAATTCTGTCCGTAAATTCATCCTGACTGGATGTGTTCAGCTGGTGGACTTCCTTGTTAAGTGTTAGAAGTCCCATGCATAGACAGTCAGGTAGACCCAGTAGTGGCTGTGCAGATCGAGCTTTTGATGACATAAAACAGCAGGTCGTAAGTCTGGCTGGCTAGACTGCAATGTGACTGTGCCAAGTGTGTGCAGCTCGTTGCCACCATATGCTATTAACCTTGTTGTGTTTAACACATTAAGTTCTTCCCCTTTCGCAGGTGCTGGAAAGTGTCTAAATCCATTACATTACACTTAATAATAATAATTAATAATAATTTATGCATTTAGCAGACGCTTTTATCCAAAGCGACTTACAGTGCATTCAGGCTATACATTTTTTACCAGTATGTGTGTTCCCTGGGAATCGAACTACATTTGGCTCCGGTGTCCACTTTTAGTTCCACCAGCTTATATGTGTACAGTGCTGGGCAGTTCACATTTTTGTGTTGGGTTTGTCATAGAATCAATGGAATCTGCAGTCATTCTGTCAATGAAGAATGATTCACTCTCTTCACTGTTTGTCTGGTGTGGTTCAACATTGTGGACAGTTTTGGTATAACAAAGTCGATGTGGCAGCAGAAACGACTTGGTCGTTAAGTTCCTCAGAGGTGCTCAGAGATTGAACCCTCCTCGCCCTAGGACTGTGCCTATATGGGACTATATGTCTATACAGGTCATGTCGCTCAAATCCGTTCTGCTTTTGGTCTTAGCATCGGTCAAACTAGTAGGTGACTTGCAAGCCCTGTCAGTCAGTGCTGCCTGTCTTGAGTTGGGCCCAAAGGCTGTAAGGTCATTCTCCAACCGCAAAGCGGTTACGTGCCTAAGGTGCCTAAGCGATGCCATAGAAGAACCATTCAGTCAAACGTTCTTTAAAGAACCATCTCTTTCTTACCTTTTTATAATCTGAAGAACCTTCTTTTGCTACAAAGAAACTTCTTATGAAACAGAGAGGTTCTTCATGAAGATGTTAAAGGTTCTTTATGGAACCATTTAAACAAAAGGGTTCTTCTATGACATCATGAAGCGCCTTTATTTTTAAGAGTGTAGCATGTTTTACAATAAAACAACTGTTTTCATTCAGTAAAAACAATGTGCTCTTTTTTTACTGTGAAATTTTGTTGTCATTGTACAGAAAGACCAAAAGCCAAGGTGAGCATTAAACCTGATCAGCATGTATTCAGAGGAGAGATGGTGAAGCAGTCACTAGCTGGCAGTACAGCTGGTATAAAGACGGTTCAGTCAGTGTTTTCAGTGAACAACAGGAACACACATTCAGTCCTGTTAATGAGTCTGACGCAGGTAAATACTCCTGTTACGGAGCAGAGAGAGGAGGATCACGAACATCAAACATCAGTGATGCAGTTACACTGACAGTATCAGGTGAGTTTCATCTTCTCTTCATATAAACACACAAGTTTAACATGTTATTAATGAGTCATTTGTCAATTTCAGTTCCCAGAGCAGTTTTAAGTGTTTCTCCACAGAAGTGGTTGACTGAAGGAGATCCAGTGACTCTGATCTGTGAGGTTAAAGGCTCCTCTACAGGTTGGACATTCAGCTGGTACACTAAAACTGTTTTATCAGGTAAGATGTTATGTGCTTCATGTGGTAACTTCTGAATGAACTAGTTTTATTCAAATCAACAAAATATGTAATATTTCTGAGTCCAAGCATTATAGACCAGATATGAGGCAAATGCCCCACTGAAACTCAAGGTTTGATGTGGCCGTTTTAAACAACCTGAATATGTTGAGTTACTTAATCAAAAGTAATTGAAGTAATTAAAAAGTGTCAAAACAAGTAGAAATAGCTCCTTAAGAAAATTATTTTACAGACATCAATAATCATTATAAGTTGCTCTCAGACAGCAGCAGAAGAGCTGGAGGAACCTACACTGTCAGTTCTGCTATTCTGAATCACACAGGAGTTTATGTGTGTAGAGGAAAGAGAGGCAAACCAGCCTATTACACAACCTTCAGCAACAAACAACCACTATGGGTCACTGGTGAGTTCAAATAAAATAAATAACATTAAAAAAATAGTAATAATAATGACATTTAAAAATGTTTTTTTTTGTCTATTCTGTAAAAATAAATGTAAATGTGTTCTCATTTCTCATTTTTTTGTCTTTTGAGAATTATTGACCTTTGACTTAATAATAATAATAATAATGATAATAATAATAGTAGTAGTAGTAATAATTATTATGTATTTATTAGTTTATAACATTATTATTATTATTATTATTGTTATTACTAAACTTATATTTGATATTTGCATGTTCAGCTGTTCTTCTCTTTCGGCCGAAAACCGAAAATGCCATTTTCAGCTGCCGAAAATTCGGTGCATCGCTATTGAAGTTATTTATTTTTTTATTATTATTATTTTATTTAATTTTCTTCCTTACGATTCATATCCTGAAAGGTTAGGTCAGGTTAATAAATTCGTTTTTTTTCTGTAAATATTGAATATATATTAATAATATAAGGTTGGTGAAAAGACAACAGAGTCAAATATGATGATACCAGAGAATGGTTTCGCTAACTTGACTGATGTCATGTGATGTTACACTTCTCTTGGCTGTCTGATTAAACTCTGCTTCATTTCTCATGCTCAAAACTAAACATTTTAGCTTTTGTAGTGCGCATTTCTATTTGTGACCAATGATAGCTTTAACTATGCATGACGGGTCATTTTTGTCTGTCTCAATACCGTCCTGTCAAATGAAGGCAGAAATGCCAAAAAAAAAAAAAAAAAAAATTTAAATTTTTTTTTAATA